AGAGACACTGGGAGGGGAGAGATCCTTCAGTACGCTAGACCTGGCATCCGGTTATTGGCAGGTGGAAGTACATCTCGACAATGGAGACAAAGGAGCCTTCTGTATTCCCACCGGGACCTACGAATTTGAAACAATGCCCTTCGGGTTAACCAACGTCCCTGCCACTTTCCAGCGACTGATGTCCACGGTATTGAATGCCTTGGTTTCCGGTAAACGTCTAATCTTCCTCGACGACGTTATTGTTCATGGTCGCACTCCGGAGGAACATTTGAACAACCTCGAAGACGTAGTCTTGGCAATCGGTGCTGCTGGGCTAAGGCTGAAACCGGAAAAATGTGTGCTTCTCCAAAAGGAAGTTAAATATTTGTGACATATAATCAGCGAGGAAGATATCCGCAGTGGTCCCGAGAAAATTGGAGCAATCGAACGGTGGCCGGTTCCCAAATCAACGGAAGACGTAAGACCATTTCTCGGGCTTACCTCCTACTACCGCCTTTTCGTTCAAGGACACGCCAAAATTGCCTCCCCACTGCATCGCCTAACAGAGAAGGACCGAAGATTCCAGTGGAGCAGCAAATTTCAGGGAGCGTTTGATCAGTTACGAAAGAAGCTCATCGAGGCACCAATCCTGGGCTTCCCGGATTTAACCGAGCCGGCTGGACTTTTCGTATTAGACACAAATGCAAGTGACACTGGTATCGGCGCTGTGCTTTCCCAGAAGACGAACGACGGCCGGGAAAAGGTGATTGCCTACGCCAGTCGGTGTCTGACAAAACCAGAAAGGAACTACTGCACCACGTGGAAAGAACTGCTCGCTTTGGTGCTCTTCGTCAAAAAATTCAGGCATTTCTTGTTGGGAAAGCGGTTCACGGATCGGACTGATCACCAGTCCTTACGCTGGCTGCAGAACTTCAAGGAGCCAGAAGGCCAGGTAGCACGCTGGCAAGAATAACTACAGGCTTTCGATTTTGAATGTGTGCACCGACCGGGAAGACAGCATGCCAATGCAGACGCCCTGTTCCGACGCCATACGCAACATGGGGAATATCCATCGTGTCAGGTTATCGCGATGGTCGTAAGCGCGCCAAACTCAGTCGAATGGGATCAAATACAACGGACTGACCCTGAGACTAAGTTGCTGTATTCGAAGATAGAACGCGGCGAGATGAAGCCGACAAAACATGAGATGGCACCTACTGTACGTCAACCAATTCACACTTGAGTGACGCGTAGCCGAACCGATACGAATCCCGAAGTAAAAACACGATTGATCCGCAATGCTTTACGGTAATGAATTAACGAAATTATTACAAAATGTACAATAAAGCAAACCTCAAATATGCGGCCAAAAACACTCAAACAAGCGAGCCAAATAAGATGTCCAGAGAGAGGCAAACAGTCGCTCCCGTTCTCAAACCGCGCGAAATTCAAATGTGCCGGGCATCCAAATTAACAGATGAATAATGATGTATGGTGTTTGTGATCGAGAAATGTCAATATAAGAGCAACACACATATAAAGTTATTTCACCATAAATCATTATGGGTTCAGAAGGATTTTCAAAAAATTCAGCATGTAATACACCTACTAGTTGGGAGAGCCACTGTCTGTGGGCGGCTTGGTCCCGGTTGCAGCTAGTAGATGGAGCGCTCTAACACAAATTTGGAGAACATTACAGTCCAAAAATCGTAGTACCACACAGCAAGGAACAGGAAGTCTTGCAAAACCTCCATCAGGAACTTGGTCATCCCGGACAACGTAAAATGGAGTTCGCCGTGACCCATTGTTTCAGGTGGCTACAACAGCGCCGCGACATCGTGAATTTCTAATAATAATAATAATGGTATATTTCACGAAGCCCGTGAAGCATGCTAGTGTGCGTGATCAAATGTAAAACAATGTAAAAATGGCAGGGGAAACAAAAAGCAGTAGTACAGAGTGTAAGAACGTAATTTGCAAACGGGTACGAAAGATATCATAAATAATGATGTATATATTTCACGGAGCCCGTGAGACAAGGCATGATCAAGTGATCAGAGCGAGTATATGTACAATAACAGTGTAAGTACATAGGTAGACAATAGAAATAGTGAGGACCAGAAAGAAAACAGTGTGAAAGGAACACAAACCGGACAAGGTCACTGACGAATTTATGGAAGATGGAGGATGCATTGAAAATGCATGTCACTAGAACTGGAAGTAATGGTAAAACTGGTCTCGGAAGGATGGGACGTACGACAACAGTGCGGGGAAATACGAAGAGGCGATCTGTGAAACAAATGCTGCCTGATGGTGGAGGCATGAGGACAGGAATAGAAAGGAAGGAATATAGCCAAAATAATACGTCGGTAAAGGAACTTTTCACTCTATGCTGCAACACAACTCGCTCCTGGAGACAGGTTCATTAGGTTGGGGGCTTCAATCGATCAAGCAGTGATTTGGATTATTTAGATTATTTAGGCGTTGGTCTCTTTGACGTGGGACTGACTACACGCTAGACACCTAACCTTAAAACACCATGTAGATGAGGCAGGAGATGTGATCCTCAACCTGATCCGGAACGCGGACGCATGTAGTCAAAAAGGTGGAAACAGCCTTGCCCAACAACCATTCTGTAACCGATGCCCGGAGTGTATTCGAACCAAACCCCAGATGGCGTACCACCGGGCACCACTGCAACCGATGCAGGTCGGTTACCCTAACCAACTAGTCGGAATAGATATAATTGGACCACTCCCGGAAAAACCTCAAATAAAACAGGTACATCCTAGTTCTGGTAGACTATTTTACCAAATGGTGTGAAGCATCGTCGCTGCCCTCTATTGACGCCAAGACGGTATCCTATGCTATATTTGAGCTTTGGATATCCCGGTGGGGTGCGCCAATCCAACTACATTCCGACCGCGGGTCAAGTTTCGAAAATGAGGTGGTCGCAGAGCTGTGTCAAGTCTGCGGGATACACAGAGCGAGAACCACGGCATATCACCCTCAAGGTAACGGACAAATGGAACGCACCAACCGTTCTTCTAAAGGGTTACTGCAAGCCTTCACGAACGAGTGCACCACCAGGGATTGGGACTTGGCATTACCGCATTGCCCCCTGGCCTATCGTTCAACAATCCATGCCTCCACCTGTCATACCCCCGCATGCAATGCTTAAAGGTAGCGAGGTTCGATTAACTACCGATTTGAGCGTTCCGATCCTGGCCCCGGATCCCTTGGTGTCTACGGAATTCGCATGAACCCTAAAACAGCGCCTGCAGCGGGCACACGCACTAGCTCGAGAACACCTAAGGAAGGCCCATAGACATCAAAAGGAGTGCTACGACAAGTATATTGCCGGCCCCCCAGTAAAACCAGGAGAACAGGTCTTCGTCCATAATCCAGTGCCACCACCAGGAAGACCAGCCAAACCACACAAGACCTGAGAAGGCCCGTTCACGGTGCTGGAAATGCTATCAGATGCGACCTGTCGTGTGGTTTCAACAGATAGAATGAATTCGAGACCCATAACGGTCCACTACAGCCGATTAAAACCGACAACAAGGGCCGAACCACCCCGAACCCAGAGGAACACACGCACCCCAAACGCCACTGTAGAAATCGAGGTCGCTGCTGAAAGTGGCTGGAAACGGACAGTCGCCAC